CCAATTTCGGGTTAGAGCTCTGATGAACACAGAAGAATCTTCGTGCTGCTAGAATTGACAGATAATGTGTAAACGAATCCTTTACGCTGCGCAGAAGCATCTTTCCTGAAGATACTTCTGGAAAGATGTTGCCCAGCTTGTCATCTGTAGTGTTCCTCTCTCCGAGAGAGAAACACTGCGTGCCGTGTCGTGCTTATTTCGGGCGATTCAGTTCTGACGTTGAGATTTTTTATATATTTCTATGTCAGTCATGGCATGCCGAACAGATGCAATTAACTATTAATATGGTTTCTGAGCCTCGTGTGGGGTTGCGCTATCATACAGGAATGGCTTATAGAGCTGCACATCGTAAATCGTCATCATCAGAGCTCCTACCCGAAATGGATGTCCTTGCTCGTGAAGTTGCATTCCTTAATCATGAAATTGATGTCTTTATTCGCGAAATTGATTTCCCTATTCAACCTTCATCGCTAAATTGATGTCCCTGTTCGCGAAGGTGACTATTTCCTTATCATTGGGTTCTGAATTGATAGCCTAATCCGCTGCAAACTGCCGCTGGAGTCCACCCGAATTACGACTAGATCATTTCCCGTTTCTGGAGGATAGTTATCAAAATGTGTTGGACAACTCTTTTGTTCACGATCTCTGTCCTGCGCCAGTGGCGCAGTGCCACCGAGCACCTATCAGTTATTGGGACCGTCCCAATAACTGGTAGTTCCATGATGTAGATTACTGTTCGATCTAGTGTTCCTCAGTGACTCGCACATCATTCGTATTATCAAGTGTTTCATCTTGATGAGTTTGGTGAAAGAAGGACTTTGCCCTAACCCGTTGCTGTCCTTTACAATCGACATGGCTTGAAGCCAATGGCTTCCTGTAATGGATAGCAATATTGAAGGTGATCACCAATCACACTGGCCATATCTCCAACACATAGCAATTCTTGTCACAACAATTCACGAATATCATATTCGGATGGAAATTCCATGCACAAAGGAACAATTAGCGAAAATTCGAAGGGGGAGGAATGATGAACACTCTATCTTCCGAGTTCAGGAGCGTTGACATGGGCGGGAAAGTGAACACGTACGACCTGAGATGATCAGTCTTATGGCGCTAGTATATCAAGTCTTCCCATGTCTCACTTCGGTTGAGTGTTGTTTCCGGAGTCTGTCAGGCTCGAAGACGCAAACGGGCCTTGTGGCTGACGTCGGTACAACCCCAAGGGGACGCACCTGCAATCGAGTTAGAGACTTGCCATACTACTGTTCTGGGAGATGAGAGTATCACCCGCCGCGAACAAGATGCTTGAGCAGATCTCCAAAAGTGGCACCGGCAATTCTCAAGGCATCACTAGATGCAGCTATCTGTTCCCTTGTTTCATTTGGTATCTTGGATTTCTCGAAGAAGGCATTCTGAGAGCGTAATAATTTCAACTAGAATATCGGAGAATCACATTACTAGACGCTCGCCTATCCAGGCCTCGCTGAGTCCAACCAGTTCAACACATGGCTGGAGCCCGAAATTCGTTCCGTCGCCGTAGAAATCGCGACCTGCCAAATCATTCGCTGATTCTCAAGCCGCTCACTCACCTCCATCAATCATCAGAGAGGCCATCATTCCCGCATCCACAAGAATATCCGAGAGAACTGGCGACCTGAAGGCGGAAGAATGGCCTGCAACTAGGACAGGATTACCCACCTGCAAATAGCTGGGAATATCATAGACTCAGAAATGACGTTGCCCATGGCATATTCAGGCGAGTCCACGTGGAACAGATTGCTCCTGAGCAAGTTGTGATCGTGGATCCACTGGAATTAATCCTGTGGACGCAGATGGTCTCTAGTACTTCACTCCACCGGAAGGCCACCAGGAGCTCTCGTCCAGGAAAGGCAGAGATGTAACGTCGTGGAGGCATGTTATCGTAGACTAAGGGGCATCCCTTCAATCAAATACCCGAAAAGTCGTTCATAATTCACCTACACGGCTGACACGAACTCGCTTTGCACCATCCTCGCTGAACATAGACGCCACTGAGAACCGCCTTTCCCCTCCGCTCAAGCTGGAACCGAATTCCATTGAATAGCACCGAGCAGGAGTCCTACTTCCCAGAGCATCAATAGATTGCACTTAGTCACGAATACCGTTACCTCACTTTGTCTTTGACATGCTTTATCTCGTGCGCTGTTAGAATCGATGTGAAATCTTGGTAAAGTGGAGGCTTCTGTGTACCTAGCGTACCCCAAACTCGGAGTTTCCGTCCAACCATAAGCAGTGTCTCAGGAGACTTGGATTACTCGAACCATGGTGAGATTGCTTGCTTGAGCCTTGCACAACTCCAGGCGAGCTTGCAAGGCTTGTAAGGACGGCTACTACATCAGCAGCTCCGACGCCGGCACGAGCGAGATCCTCGCGTGAAGTTGGACTTCCCACAACCTAGAATTGCACTTGCTCACACATGAATTCCTCTTGAAGGCATACCCATGCAACTTTGCCGGTAAACTCCGCCAATTCAGCAATCGAGCCTCCACCCGACGGAGACAGGATGACACATTTTGTCATTGCGCCACCCTTGCTATCTGAAACTCTGGTCAGCAAGCAAACAAGGCTTACTAGACCTACTGAACATTGTCCGTAAGAATGAGGATAGGCCGTTGGGCCAACCAACCACAACAACCAGGCTCGGACCACTCACTGTAAATCCAAGTACTTCAGTGGGATCGAATAAGCTAGATCTTCGACTTCGAAGAGACAACAAGATGGTATGAGCAATTGATTGCAATGGAATCGTGACCTACGCTGGCTCGTTCCTTAGTCGACTCTCTATCGTAGCAGCTAGCTCTGGAAAAGCTCCCAGGAAGTCCTCAAAAACAATGCGAGATTCGTCAACTTTGAAGACGGGCTGCAATCTCAACCTCGTGGCCCCGTTGACGAGCTGAGACAGTCGAAGATAATCGACGTGTCGGCAGGAGTGAGTACGCTTTTGCGGCGTTCGATGAATGAGCACCGACTCTCGGCCCCCTGCATTGTCGTGGCCCGCAGAGAAGCTCTCGATGGGAACGAACTTTCCAAGCCGTCTTTCCGGCGCTTCACAATAGAACCTGAGAAATCGATAACTATCTCTCACGTAATATTCCAAGCCCAACGACTCACTACGAAACCTTCTTGATGGCGAAACGTCACCTAGAAGGAGTGTCCAATTATAGCTCGTATCACCAGGAGCACTCACCATCAACATGCGAAGGCCGCCTAGTCCCTGTGCCAGAGCTTGAGTGAGGTGATAAAGCGAATATCTACGACAGCGTAGCAGAAATCATATGCAGTATGTGTTCCCTTATAGTGTACGCTTCCCATAGATTTGAAAGCATTAATTGCTCTCCGTCCAGTAGCGGCGAACGTTTTCTGCCTCCGTAGACCTAGAAGACTCGAGAGCGTCAGGAAACAGAGTCGTCGGAGGCTCGAACTTACTTCCAGCCTTGTTCGCCCTGTCGGGTCCACCATTTTGCCCATCGATAAGTCCTGAGAAAAAACTCATACTTTTCACAGTAGATTGTTCACTCACCCAGATCTGCAAGCTTGTCCGACATATCTCGGGTTAGGACAGCTCCGGCGCTTGACTGAAGATGATCAGCTCAAAGAAGCGTTTACGGGATCCACGAGAGAGTACAGAACGCTTCTTCTTTGTTGATCCTTCTGTATCATCTTCCGATATCCTCCGTGACACGCTCTCCGGCCTTCCAGGGATCCTGTCGACAGCGTCACGAAATATGCTAGCTCCACCGTTGATTACGGGAATACTATGACTCCCTCCCTATTCGTGCATCGCAACCCCCCGTTACTGTCCCCTGGGATCGAGCGAGTGTCCCCACTCAAAGTATGCCGGAAGTCCCCACGTGAGATGGTTGTATCCGTGTGGTGCCGCTCCGGTGACCGCATGTGATCCTGATAGAGATGATTTTGTCTGTTGTAAGGTGAACGCGGCTCACTTCATCAATTCCGGCAGCAGGTATCTTGCTGGGAAGACTGTTCTGCGTGCTGCCAAAGAAGACGAAGATCGCGTTCCTAGCATTCACGCTCTGATCTTACGCTAAGATATCGTCGTCTAGTGGCCTTCTCCGAGAGCGCGAAGGAATGAACAACTCCATTCTGTCTCTATCCAGATCGCTCCACGGCGGTAGTGCTGTAACAATTCGGTTCGAAACATCGGTAATCGAGCGATAAAACACCGGGTGGCGTTCATCGCCTTACTCATTGCTTGTATTTCAAGAGCTCTTCTCGCACTCGAAGCGAGGATTATCAGAACATCTTCGGCGCTGATTTCCTGTCCGGAAGGATTCAGTAGCATGTGCCCTAAAGTGGAGTTTCGCTCCATGCGTAGACCCAGGTGGTGCACCAAGTGGCGCAAGCTCGGTGAGAGGCTGTTGAGGGGTTCACCTGTTGATGTCATTCGTTCAGTGCCGAAGACACAGACTCGTGAATGGTCCGCAAATAATAGTAGAAGCTCTTCGAACTTGTAGGGAGATGTCGCAGTTGCCACGAAGGGTGGGCAAGTTATACGATACACACACATCATAGCACCGTTCAGGTACCTCAGGCAGGAAGCTCAAATCCAAAATCCTGCAATGAGCTTACTCTTTAAAACCAGGAAATAGAGGTGACTGCGGGATTTCCGCCGAGCTGCCTGATCTGATACGTGCTTGATACCTAAGAGTAATCACAGTTATGCCTCTCGCAGTGACAAGCATCATTCTTCCTCACTGCTGCCATTTGCGGACCCAGGGAAACTCGCTCAGCATCTTATGGGGTGGTGCACCGGCAGGGAGCGCGAGAGATTTAAACATGTTGCAGAACAACGTAGAGAACCTGCCGCGAGAGCTCCTGCAGAAGCCTGTGATGAGCCGCTCAACCCTGGGCATCCACTGCAGGTCTTTGCCATTATTCTCAGCATTAGATCGTGCCTGCTAGTGACTTGCTCAGCCCCCATATCCAAAATTTGTCGTGACGCATCTGGAGAGATGGGATAGTTTTATTCGATGACTAATGTTCGCACCTTCTCTCAACAAGTGGCATGAAAGACCGAAGCCTTGATCCCAGAACTTCCGAACGTGCAGACATCGCACAACACTGCGGTGGTCCTCACAAACTTGCTCGCAAGAGAGAGGGGTTGCAACCTGATCACCAGGAATTTGCGTATCTATCGGAGCTATTTGCAAGGAGCTTACCTCGCAAGAGCCACAGCGACGGTCGCTGAGGACGATAACAGCTCCTACCATACCCCAGCGGAGCTTGCAGAGATCCTGGGAAACCCCACTAGCGGTGTCCCCAGCTTTCATGCAGATTCTTATTCCTGATCGGCAAAATCTAGAGAGGAGAAGCGCGATTTTGTGGCTTACCAAATTTGGACAGTGCCTCTGCCACGGCTTCCTCGAAATCTTTCATGGGCGATGTCGTGAAAACGACAACATTGTGGCAGTAGAGCGCGTCTGTGGAATGCGCATGGTTGAAAGCCGCCGGGGCCCTGCCTACGGCTATGAGCGAGTTCCCAGATGAAAGTGTCGAGTTCGTCCGCAGACAGTTTGCCCGTTAAAACGAGCACAAACTTGCCGTCGACACCCAAGGTTTTTCGCGAGGGGATAACGCCTAAGATCGCAGAAGTGAGACGTGATGGAATGCACTCTCAGGGCGAGATGATGCTTGGCAGTGGGTGTCGTCATTACCTATCTGGCCTCGTGGCTGACGTATTAAGGTGTTCAGCTCGCGAATTTGAGCAGGTATGAATATCACCACTATCCCGATGGCGTTGATACATAACATGCGCCCGAATCCAGTGACTGAGCAAAAACGATTCGATTCGGTTGGGACGAGCTTGAAAGAGCCTCGCACCTGGGGCGAAGTCACCATAGCCTACAGTCGAGAGGGTGACCACAAAGAAGTAAACGTAATCGAAAAACCTGCCAATACCAGTCGAGAATACACGTATCAACTTCGCTCATATCGCTGCATCGTGATTACGCTGTGAACTCCCCTTTGAGGCCAGCGGGGGCCTCTTCGTTGAACATAGCACCAGAGAAAGTGAAAATGATGCCGAGGACTCCGAGTGAGATAGATATGATCTTCAGCGTGATTTCAGAGGTTGATGTTGCTATGCGTTCCAGTGTTCGATGCAGCCCATAGAGACGCATAAACCTCGTGTACCCATATCTGTGATAACTACTACGATGCGATGAATGAGGTGTTTGCTACAGTGAGAGGTAATCTTCTGGATCGATGGCGAGAGCCCATCGGACCACGAGCATGAAAAGCGGCATTGTAAAGATGTCCAATATGGTTGAGAGTCGCTGCCACAAACAGCTAGTTCACATCTCAATACAACAGTGCGGTCTACCTTCAGCCACTTGAACTTCTCCCTAGCTGTAATCAGCGATACGCAGAAGTCAAGATTGACGACCCATAAAAACACCCTCTCCATGGGGACGTGCCAGTCCGGTATCTGAATTAACGTCAGAACATCCTCAGTCGTCATTTACGGAGCAGTGAGGAATGGAGCTACCCTATCAGTGAGCCATTTGCATCTCCATCCGTAGCCGAGCAGCTTATGTATGAACGTTGTCTCGTAGGAATCGTGGTCGCAAACCTGCGAGAGCCGAAGCTGGAGATATGATACCGTCTGGATGCGCACCTCGTCTCTGTAAAGGTACTTGGTAAAATGTACATAAAGAGCACACCAGAACACTGTGATGAGGAGCCTTTGCAATAGAAACGCTTTGGACTCAACGAGAGCCTACAAATCACCACAGCATGCTGCGATCTTCGCGTAGCAATGTTATGCTCGTACATGCAGCAGCCCTCGAAAGTCCCCTGATCTGATAAGGGACATGATCTCGCCCCAGGCTCGCTGCCAGGCATTGCCGTCAAATGCTCGGAAAGAGTCCGCTGAGTGGTATGGCACTAGCGATAAACACATCAAGGTGTGCTACACTGAGCACTCTTGTCGTAGAATGAGTTGTACAGTTGCGCCCTCGACTTCGGCGGTTCCTGTGAGGATGTTGTAGCATTGGGTTGGTAAAGAGATCTCCTACCTGTCCTTGACGGGTGGGCGTCTGCCAAGCTTGTGCTAGGAAACAGAACAACTCACAACCGCTCAGTCTAAGGTCAGAGATCTACCTTGTGATCTCCCAAGATGTTCTTGCTCTCTACCGAGACCAAGAGTTGAATAGTATCTAAAACCAATCCAGATTGCCGGTCATACGTATCTCAGGCCGATACCCGGACGCCGCTTTCTGCCGAAGGTGAAGGCCGCAGTGGAGAAGAAACAGCACCAACGCTTGCCCAGCGATGGAGATGGCGAGCATGAGCAGCTGATACCTGACGGCGAGATGGAAAATACTCAGGAATACGCATCTTCAACTCACGGTATATCGCCGAAAAGAAGAAGTTGAGACATCAGGCACGCCACCACTACCAAAAACTGTACAATCGCGCTCGTGGACGGAAGACGGAAATTCTGATGACAACAAGGAGATACGAAGAAGATGTTGATAGGCTCCTACCCATTGTCGGGTATATATCTCAATCTGCAGAACGTTGCTGGGGGCCTGTAGTATATGGCGTCTGACTCAAGGGAATACCGACAACTGTCTCACAAACATCATGCCGTTTGAGGAGTAGCGCATAGAACTGCCGACCACGATCGGTTCCTGTTCTAGACTGGAGTTGTGTCTTCGTACTTGGTTGAGTGCTGATATGTCGATCTAAATCAATATGAGCAGAGTAATCGAATACTCTCTAAAATATGTTGCCTTACCCGTGCACGGGGAATGCTCGTCGTTCTCACTCGCAGTCTACGACGGGCCATGGAGTCGGTCTGAGAGGTTTCAACATGTCCGGAAAGTCGATGGGAGGAACCTCATACCATAGAGACGGCAGATGGTGTCGTCGTACCCAGGGGCTCGTCGTCACCGACGAAGTCCTCGAGTCCAGTGAAAGTGTCGGCACGGTCAACGCTATCAGCTCGTGATTCTGAATGAGCACATGGGTACGGAGCACGAAGCATTCAAAATTGGATCAAGGTGAGAGCATTCTTCAGACTATATCAATGCCTTACCATTCCCGAAGGATCCCGACACAATAGACGGCAGGGGCCAAGCGGGTCGACTTGGGCTCCGGGGCGGGGTCAAAGCCATAATCACACGCGGAGAACATGAAAGCTGAACGAACGGCGAGCATGAAGAAGAGCCGTTCGTGAGGTCTCTCCAGAGACCAGTGACAGTGCTCGACCGTGGTCTACTGTTAACCCTATAGAGTGGCTCCGGCTTGCTCATTTTCGAGGGAGTGTATTCCAGAATGAGACAGACTCATCGAGACGGCGAGAGCCAATAAAATATCCATCAAAATCACGGAGATCAAGACTGGAAACGAACTCGAGGATTTCAAGCCGACTCGGGGTACGGAGAAATGATGGGGAAGAGCCCGTCATTCTGGATATAAGCTGATTAACCACGCAAGGCTACTCGGGTATGAATGTTCAAAGTGTATATCAACAATGGAATAGTCTAGCGTTAAGAAACTCCTAGAGTAGACACGATCTCAGCAGCTCGTTGAGTGAGCAGAGCGCCGATGCTCTCATGTGCCATTCCCCACGAAGTCCTGATTCCGCAAATGACTCGGGGCATTATCGAAAAGCGACTTGAGGACGAATGCCTCGGCCAAGAGCGTCTCGATATCTGCTTCCGTCCACTGTGAAGTAGGCGCTTTTTGGAACTGAAAATGCACGAATACCAAGCGGCTACCCAAATTGACGCCTCACGAAAAGCATGATTCCAGAGAAGTCCATTCCCTCTAGATGAGGACCCCAGTGAACCAGAAAAGCTGCGCAAATGTAGACCATGTAAGTCGAGAAGCCATCGTTCTCGGCTATACATGTGTCCCATAGTCTCAATGTACCTACGAGCAATGAGAAATAGCCTCCACGAAAGCAGTTATGAATCCTGTGGTAAAAGTGTCCTACATTGCAGAGGCAGCTCCCTTAGCATGAGGCAGTTGAACCAACGAAATGCTATCTGGAGATAATCGATCTAAAAGAGAAATTACGTAGATCCTCCAAGTAATCGTTAGCCGATAGCCACTACTACTACCATCTCATCCTCTAAATGGTCGGCCAACTTATCATCTACACGCTTCACAATGTCCTTCAACATTAGGATGAGACGCTGTATACCTGGCTGGCCGAATGTGTAATGATCCTGTATGTCCGACAGAACCTGAGGTGCTTCACAATGACATGCTCAGTCAGGACCGGACGAGAATCTCCATAATAAACACTCACTCGTGAGAGCATCCAGTATGCATCAGCTTCCACTTCCATGAGCTGTACATCGTCAAGCCTGTTCTCGTCATCAACATCGATATCTTTTATCGGCAGGTCCAACTTCGCTTGGAGGAGAATCACGATGAACGGCGTGAGAAGGTCGTTGATTCCCTAAAGACACCTCGAGCCAGCCTGGACTTCAACAGAGTCGCGCGAAACTCGCTAGACTATACTAACTAGTCCCCAATCCCAGGGGTTCAAACAGGAGCACAGAAGGCCGCCCCCTCGTAGTACTTGAACATAGCCAGAGGCAGGGTTACGGACAGCCCAGGTATACAATATTCGCTCCATCATTCTCTGGATCCTCTCCGATGCGAAAATGTTAAGCTCAGAAAACGTTCGAGGTATGTCGACCTGAGAAATATGTTGACGGGACCATCTAGGGTGAGTGGGAACCCGATCATCTCGATACCATACTTCACAGCGGTGGGTATTCACTCCGAGCCAGTCAAAACCCGTCGCGTGAATCCAAGTTCCGCCTACCCCACTACCCGTATTTGCCGGAGCGATGCGTATTGTTGTTGCTGTGCTGAGGTGGCCGAAACCGGCTGCAAATCATCCGTTGACAAGGCGAAGACATCAGCAAACTCTCGCGTTAAGGCCTGAAATGAATGAACACATATGAACAACGCTACTCATACGACATCCAATCATAGGGGCCCTCAGATTACCCGATATTCCCGTCTTTTCCGTTCCACTGCACTATTCTGCCGTTCCTTCCTAGGCGGTACGTAGCCCAGTGCCAGCTCCCATGCTCTCACGCGTACCTTAGTGGGGACACATGTTCTCTCAAATTCCTCGTAGCGATGCTGAAGAGAGAAATGCCCAGCACCACTGCCCCACCCTTCTTCCGAAGCCATTACATCGAAATCGGAATCAAACGGGCAGCCAGACCAGAGTAACCTATTGAGCTCATCCAAGTCCACCTGCTCCCTCATGGCAGCGTGGCGCAGCTTGGATATCTGATCCCAGCCAGCCAGTACCGGAAATTTCACTTAGTCTAGCTCCTACTCTCGCTGGATTGCTGCCACTGGACGGCAATTTTCCACTCACTTCGGAGTCCGATGGGAAACCCTAAAGGCGAATCATGTTGCACGGCCATAGTGAATACTGCTCCGGAATAAGCTGATTTATCTATTACCAATGAGCCCGCTCCCGATCGAGTTAGCATCTTCGCGGGCCGACTCGCGGTTGCCTCTGCCGCTAGGTGGTGGCTGTTGGCCCCACCAGTGAGGTAATACCCGAGCCTACTGAGCAGGCCTCCCGAACTCCCACCACGACGTTGAGCCGAGCCAGGGGTCGGTGACTGTGAACTGGAGGAAGCGCTGGACTGACGCTTACTCCGTTGAAAACCCAAACTCATTTAGAATACAAACTGCGGAGACATGAAGGAAACGACTACGAGATCTTTGATCGCATCTCTATCACGTTCAATCAGAATGCCACTGATACACCAACAACCACACATATATCAAAGCACTTATATCTCCGTCTGCGGTCCGGAACTTCCCCCTAACGCGACGCCAGCGAAAACAGTTCTACGAAAAATTATGGAGATCAGCCTTCACCATATTTCGATACTCAACGAGTACTCCATCATGTAATGGCCGCGCCTTATAGGCACGGCCTGTGCGAATAGGATGTCTAATGTTAAAAAGCGCACCCTCCTCTATGCAGCCACCTGAGATTGACTCGCACTCATGTCGGCACACAACAACAATCGGGTAGCTCACTTCTGGCTTACGCTCCTCTCCGACATTCAAGGGAGCAGTCTCAGTTGGATCTCCATCAGGGACATTCAATGTAGGATAGTTACGACCGAGGTTAGCAGGAGTCGGCACAACCACAGAGGAGTCGAACACAGGTTGAGTGTAGTCTCCAGGAGCTTTGCTCATTACCTGCTCAGTCTTGTTCCTCATTCTCGCACTATCGGGAATACAGGTGGCGTATAAAATCATCTCACCTGCTCTCTTGCTTTCTCTATCTCGCGTTTCTCGGCGAGGAGGCGAGGAAGCTCATCGTCAATGAAGTCGAGCACACGCCACTCGATAGCCAAGCCGTTGTCCAAGGCTACCTACAAAGCAGAACGGCCGACATCAATCATAGAGCTTATTCTATACCACAACTCCAACCTTACCTGCGCCTTCCTTTGCAAGTCCTCGTCATAATCGCCTATTTCCTCCACGAGCTCCTGATGAAAGGGAAAACTGAACAAGTGGAAACTAGATGCGGAGTACTTGATTAAAGGTGGCTCTAGGTCTGACCACGGTCCTTTGGTCCAAGAGTTTGGAAATTGCCATCACCCCGGGATGATGGATAACAGTCAAACGCCTCTCCCAACCAAATGTCGCGAAGACATCGGGAACCTGACGGGAACCCTACTCAGCAATACCATCCCAAGCCGACATCGTCCATTCAACCCCACCTGTTCCAGCAGAAACCTGGACTGGCGGAGCAAGGATGTGCCACGGACAGCCATTACCGCGCGAAAGTAAAGATCACGATATGATCTCTAAGAGATCTTGCGTGTCTTGCACGTCTTGAAATTTCCCCGCGGTCAAAATCTTGACCGTGGGGTCAAGACCTGTGGAACCGGAAGATGAGCTGTCGCTTGCTGTTTTACTCTCGAAGGGATTCTCTTAGATCGCACCACGTAATGGAGCTGGTGTTCCTCCCAATCTTCGGTCCAAACGCAACTCTTCACCCTAGAACTTAGTTCGACTGTACTGTTGCTTACCGATGGGAAGTTTCTGGTGGATGAGAGAGTTGTGCTCAGTCTTATTGAGTAATTCAACACGGCTGAGTCTCCCAGCTTCATCAGACAATCAGAGCAGAAGGCTCTTCGAAATTCGGGGGCAGATTTGATCGTTCTGATGGATAGCCCGATTGGGAATTGTGCGCGAGAGTATCGGGAGGGTTCGTGGTAGACGCCATCCATCACTTGATGCACTATCGCAGTACGGAGAATCTTCTATGTAGATGGAACTCTAACCCGAAACCGTCGATTTCAAATCGATGTCCTCGTTTGTGAAATCGCATTCCTTAATCAGGAAATTGACGTCTTTATTCGCGAAATTGATTTCCCTATTCGACTCTCGTCGCTAAATTGATGTCCCTATCCGCGAAGGTGACTTCCTTATCTGCTGAATCGCTAGCCTAATCCGCCAAAAAGATTTCTGAAAGGTATAGAATAAACAGTCAGACCATCCGGTAGTCCCGAGGAAGGCAGCGTCTCTGTAGACGCCACCTCTGTCGGGAAGTTCCAGTGACTCTAACTAGAGGTTCGAACGACCGTGCGGAATGGTTAATATCAAGAGATTGTCTTCACGCCGGAATTCGGCAGCGACTGGTCTGGAGAAGATGAAAACTCGATAAAGTTGGATGGAATAGTGAGAGAGTATACTCCCGATCCACCGCATTCGGGGAATGAAAACCACACGCTCTTAATCGGTTGCGAACTCACTCCCAGACTTGCCCGCCGATTTTGGCCATTGCACTTTGGCCTCCTCTTCAACTCGTAGGAGGATCTCGCGAATGTCTTCGACTCTTTAATTTTACTGAGTCTCGAGTGATCCTGTCAGCTAAATAGGAATTCCCTCCCGATCAGAAGCGATTGTTGTGTAATCAGTGTAATATGTGTTGTGTAATGCACTTTGGAAGAGGAGTACTGTACGCTGTGCACGACGCCTCTCTCTGTATTCTAAGTTATTGTAATCAGGCGAAACAGTGGCTCTCCAATCGTTGTTCCAATGGTTCAACAAAAAGACCTCACAGCCCTAGTAAAGGGGATCAGAGCTCAGCAGCAAGGACCACAGGATGGCGGCAAGCAGTTTATCACTCAGTGCATCGCAGAAATTCAGAAAGAAATCTCTCAGCCAGACTTGTCCATAAAAAGCACTGCTGTTCTCAAGATGGCATACGTGAGAATGAAACCCGAAACTTTGTTATCATGAGGCCCTTTCCTCAGCTCTGTGCGCAAGGATACGATTTCTCATCGTTGGCATTCGGAATTCTCGAGGTGAAAAATCTGATCCCACTAGAGCAAGCTCTACAAGGGTTGTTGTCGTTATGCAGGTGATGTCGGCCACGAGTTTCGAACTCAAGCGGCCGGGCTTCCTTTGCGCTTGCATCTGTTTCGATGACAGTACGGATGCTGCTCTTCTAGCTGTGAACCTCTTCAAGAAAGTGCGTAGCCATCTCGTCCAACGCGAGTGACCATTCGCCCGATCAGGGTCTGTCGAATCCCAGGGCATCTGTGATTGAAAGAGGCATACTCCTTTCTACTCTCTCTTGCATCACAACGCCAGACATGAGCAGAGATGTCGGTGAACACGAAGTGAAGCCATCAGCGTATCTTGGATGTATTCCATCGATTGTGTAAGGTTATGAAGTTGATGACTACACCGAACCCCTACCTCCGAAAGAAGGCAGTACTTTGCACGTTTCGGTTGTGTGAGAAGTACCCACAGCTCTTACACATCGCCTTCCCCAAGTTGAGGTGAGATAACACCTCATCTAAGCTCTCCATGAAAAGAGTCTGCTCAGAGACTTGCTGTCTGACGAGGATCAAGGGGTTCTCACGGCAACGGTTACTGTGATATCAGAAATAGCAGCTAGGAGCCCCAGAAACTGTTTGGTGATGGCGATGTCGCGGATATCCATAGTCCCTTCTCTTACAGATTCTGGTACCACAATTGTGGCATCTTCTGGTCAACACACGTAACAACTGGCTAACCATAAAGTTGCTGAAGCTCTTCCAACTGCTATGTCCTGTGGAGAATAGACTGCCAGCGAAGCTCGTGTGTGCTACTCCGCACTATCAGACTCAAAATTGCGGCGTCTTTCAGGCGAAGCCGCTTATCAACCTTTTGCAGAGCACCAAGGCCAAATCCGTTGAGGTTGAGTGCATACTCACTGCGATTGAGTTTCTCCCTCTTGAACATGAGGCTATAGAAGAAGAGTGCCTCCCAAGGCTCAAGGACCTGCTAGCCAGTCTTGACCGGAACTTGCGTTTCCTAGGACTTGGCATTCTGGAGAAGTACGCTTATCCCATACCCGTGATGATACCCTCTCGACGGTCAGACTCCTCGACCGCCAGCGAGAGAGGACTGATATTCAGTGCGAAAGATCTGTTTGGCATCCCTTCGTGGTGGAAGGACTGAAAGACATTCACGATAAATCTATTCGGTAGAGAGGACAGCTCGAGCCTCAACTGCGTTTGCTTTTCACTACACTTTATAAATATCATAGATGAGATACAGCAGGGAATGTGCGATACTCTTTATTATAATAATATCCTCCATCTATTGTTTGTCGATATGTAGGCGTCTTTCGCTGCGTTTATTGAACGCAGTGATCTCTGCGGGGAATCTCCGAGATATGGTAGAGGCACTTCTACCGGATGTTGAACAGAGCGAGAGTACTGGCATTCCTGCGACACTCGTTTGATTTCTATGGTTTAGAAACCGACGGTGCCTCACTGGATGAGAACGCGCTGATCTCAGAGGAGATGACCGATGACTTCGTGAAGACGATCCTTGGAGTGCGTGGTGGCCCAACTGGTGACTTTACGCAGGATTTCCTTTTCTAGATATGTTCCCGCGACCACTACGCATTGGTGGAGGACTTTGGTTGGTATTTGCTGACGCTGGTTAAGTGCGCCTCTAAAGTGACTATGCGCGACTCAACGAGCAGAGAAATCGCTCGGCAGTTCATGGAAATTTGCGATGGCGTGCCAGAGGTCATCGCGTCATTGCGGAGCGGCGGCTCTCACTGTCGCTCCTCTGTAGGTCCGTGCCTATGGAGTGACACTTGCTTGTTCATTGCTGAGATCGGCTGCGCATTCTGATGTTCATCCTCCCGGTCATTCAGACGCTGATTCTCCCGAGGTAAGGTTTGTCTGAGCCTTCGCTCTCTCTTGAATTGGAATCTTCTAGGAACGTGAATCACCACAGAACTGGGTACTGTCTTGTCCACACTTCTTACGGTGCTGTATGTGGGTAGTGGCGAGCTATCTGTATCGCGCCGGGGATACTACGACATTGGGAGACCGCCAGGGCGCTCTCGATCCTACGAGGGCCATCATCCAAGTATTCGATCACCAGCGCGCCCACTGAGTATAGACTGTGCCTTGTTCAGCTGTCCAGGACCCGAGCGGAGCTAACATTAGATGGTATATGGGCCGCTTTGCGTATTGCAGCTACCGCTGAATCGGTAGGAGACTCTGAGGCGACGGTCCAGGTAAAGTATTCGCTTGATTCAATCGCTCTAGAATATTACGGTGGTGCGTGTTCGCGCCAGATATCCCAGGCGTATCTGGAGGCTCTTCCAGCCATGCGAGCTATAGCTAGGACACATCGATGCGCGCTCGATGTCTCCCTGGACTCCGACTCGGACTTGATCACGAAGGTCATGGCTGCCTTGGTACCGTCTAGCAGAGAGAATGCTCATATAGCATGTCTGAAGGTTGCGGCAGACCAACGCCTAGCTGAGGAGCTCATCCCCACAGAAGGCCAGCGAGAGATGTTCAATCATCGTGAAATCGACCTGTCGACGCCACTCATCTCCTTGCCTTCCGAATTACTGAAAAATGAGAGATCGTCAGCCTTCGGGAGCCGAGGGGACTACACGTTGGTCGACAGTGCTGCTCGTGTGACAGGAGCCCACGGTGTAACTTCACACCGAATGGACTGCCAAGTAGGATACACCTAATCTATCACAGATGCCTCCTCCTAAGTCTCGTTATGTTCAGTCACATCTGTCCACCTCTTCGGAGTACAGCAGCCATCACACGAGTCCGTCGCTGGAGGCCTCTAACCGAGTCGATCCTTTGTTAGATCTTCCGAAAGCGCCTAAGAATATGAAATATACAATGTCTCGGTGACTCCAATCCATGAGCACCTCATGTCCTGATTTCTCTCCGTTCGCTGTCGGAGCAGTTGTGTAGAGTACGTTGTGTTGCAGGGTGAAAACTGGTGATAGTGAGGTATTCTCACACCTGCAGGACTTACATACCTAGTACTTCAACTCCCCCAACAATCAGCGAACGACAATCAGGTCTATCTCGAGAGAATTGGCTTTGATAAGCGCGGCTCCGTGACTGGCAAAGAGCGACTTTGACTTTTGATTTAATTTTGTGTTGTGCGTTGTCTACCTGGGATGTACAGGTTGGGGTTGGCAAGCTGTAGTGAACAGAGCATTTTCCCTTCCCAGTGAGGTCGCGCACTTCCGAGTTCTTGCGAGGTGGTAATTGCACAGCTGTCGTCGTAGACAGTATGGAACACCAGTGGATTCTCGCTTAGTGTGCCGATCGGGAGGACTGTGATGAGGGCGCCACGTACTGAGTGAGCTGCCAATGCGAACTCGGAGAATCGCAAGTGTCGCCCCCATGGCATAACAAGATTTGAGTTGTCATCCTTTCGTCATTCCATTTGCACAATGAGACCTTCTAAGGAGTTTTTACAACATGGTCACTGTACTGCCACTGCTGTGGATGGATCGGCCACGGCCGACGGTGGCTGTATCGCGGCCACAAGCGCCGACGGCACCCCTATGGATTTTCGCTTGGTGTATGTGATCGACTATTTTAGCCGCACATTCGAAATCTCTCGTTAGGTACGTTCCTCCGCGGCTTTATGGTCCTAATGGGAAAAGAGAGATCTACAAGCAATTTCAGGCATATCCTCGAATAGTGGATGCCGAGCGAGCTCCAAGTTATGCTCCTACTGGGCCTGACCAAGAACCTAGTAAATGCCGGAGGGGACTACTTACGGTTACTGGGAAGCTGCTTATGGCCTCATGAACGAGGCCGGTCTATGCATGGGCGAGAGCAGCTGTAGTGGCCGTCTCACGACGGTACCAATCGGTAGGTGTCATGGGTCTGGTTTACGGCATCCGGCCAAGTTTTGCCTTCCTCTGTCTAGATGAGAACCCGCATGGTGCTTTGTTTTGGGTGGGAGAGTTAGCGAGCGTCGCACTAGAGATCTGTTCTACTGCTAGAGGAGCGATCGAAACTATGGGCCGTCTCGCAGAGGAGCACGGCTTCTACGGCACCCCCGAGGTTGAAGAGGCGGGAGAGGCTTTGACCATCGCAGACGGTGACGAGGCGTGGGTCTTTCACATTCTCGCCGACGATACTGGTAACGGAGCGGTCTGGGCAGCCGAAAAGGTCCCTAAGGGTCATGCTACCATCGTTCCCAACGTTTTCGTCATTCGTGAGATCGATCCCGACGACGATCAGAACTTCATGTTCTCCAAGAATCTCTTTGATGTCGCCGAGAGGTAATACGATAGGTTCCTTTCCGTTGCTCGATCCTGCTCTGTTCTGGATTTCAGGTTGGGTTGGTGGGATGGGAACGGACGTTTGGACTTCACTCAAACGTATAGCGTCGGCGAGTGAGCTCCATCTCGATTATCGAATGGGGCGAATTGTCCCCATCAGGTATACTCATCCCTATTATGCTGGTCGCCGTTTGTGGAGAGCGTTCTCCTTGTGGGCACCTTCACAGAACTTTGATCCGAAGCTCGGCGTTGAAGTGGACCGACCAACATACCCCTTCTCTGTGAAGCCTGATGAACCGATAACACTCGCGAAGATGAAGAGCTTGTACAGAGATCATATGGAGGGTACTCAGTATGATCTAACTAAGCACGTCACGGCTGGTGGAGCGTTCGGGACGCCCAACAGGTACACACGAGTCCTATGATAATCAGAGGTTCACATTGATTCTGTTGTAGTTATGCTGAAGCAGAAGCCGAGCACTCGATTGAATACGGTGCCTGCGAAAGGGCAATTTCCCTCTTCCGGACGCAAGATGCCTATATTGCCGTAACTCACAAGGGAAAACCAGGAGTCATTCATTTCGCCATTGGTGAGCGTGCTGTTTCGTGCCGCTTGCGTGTAGTAGAGCGGCGTTGATCAGGTGCACCGCACGCCAGTGTATTCGCTCCGATAATCGTGAAGCCAAATCCGAGTGTTGTACGTTACGAGACACACTGTGATTTAGTTATGGCGTGGATCTCAGACATCAATACCTGCACTGGAGAATACATGGCAGGGTGAGTTCAACGGGAATTCTCTGTGGTGGGCTGTCCTGAGCGTCTCTAATATGATGGATTTGAAGTGGTGCTACATGATAAAGGATGTTCAGAAAGCTCAGAAGGAAGCAGAGGATGAAATTGACTTCATGATGAAGAACAAATCCTTCGATGGTGATTATAGTGACAAGTCACCATATTGAGGACTTTTCGTCTTGCCAGATCTCGAAAAGCAAACTCCTGCATTATGCGACAGTTTGACTCGCCGTTGGTTCGAGCTCCATTACACCCTTTTAGGGAGGTATCAGAATGGATACACGAATTGGGGATACTCCAAGGTACGCTCATTATAAGAGACGTCACCGTTGTGTGACACTGGTCTCGTTTTTCCTGCAGCCCGGTTAATAACCGGCGGTTATGGTCCCTCTACAGAGTGGCTCAAGGCAGCTGGGTTCGATAAGTTCGATGCGGCCGTGGCGCAGTTCGATGATCAAAAAGAGCGCTTCGTGAGAAGTCAGAGGGAGGCTGATGATATACGTCGCAGAAGGACATGAATTACTGTTGGTTCTCGGTGGCTTTCTCGTGCGTCCACTATTTGTCTTTTACCACTTCGGTGGTCAAGTTTTATTTTTCCCACGTTCCTTGGTTGCAGTCCTTTCTCCAGCGACTGTTCAGCGAATGTTGTGTTGGAGACCTAGCTACGGTGTTAATCCTTGCAAGATTCTTTCAATGTGATCAATTTGTCGATGCCTAGATTATATATAGCTCGCTAGTGTCGACTGATGTGTCCTCATATATATGGACGTTCTATCATAGAACTTCTATGGTAGTGTGAGTGTCTGAATTCGGGTTACTACTCAATCTTGCCATTGCGAATGTGCAATTAATCCTTGTTACTGCCTAGCGGTCTCGGGGTAACTCTGACCGAACAAACACTGCAGTACTACAGAGCGTGGGGTCCCGAATCGCGCTGAGACCAATTGATATCCGGAATCGAGCACTATACAAGGTTGAATGATGAAAAACCATACGCTGCCGCGAAAAAGGTTGCCTATCTCCGAAAGTGTTCCTTCAAGAATATGAATATCAATATTGTCCTTCTCAATTCGAAATCCAGAAATGATGATCCAACTCCAATATCGCTAAACAGTAGCATCTACATTCCAGTGCATTCGAAGCATCAGGGGAAGTAACCGGTGCCAATACTAATCCAACACAATGAGCAACTTCGAAACACAATTGTCGGGATGTTTGGCGAAATAGTCTTAGTCTTTCTCGGCGATCGCATTCAGATGTTCATCAATTTCTGATGGATTGAGTTTCCTAAAGGACGAGAATTCACATTGCGAAGACTGACGGGCATGAGCAACCACCTGAATCTGGTATCTCGGGTACTCATGACGCAAACCTCGATGTCGCTGGGCTTGAAATCAGCCGATAAAACCTACAGAATGATGAACTGTCAGATGAAATAATAGACCGATCTAATCAGGACTTACCGTCTGCAAAGCCGCGATAGCCTCTTCAACGGTTTCTGTCTCATCAAAGCCCTCAGTCGCGCCTGAGTCCATTCTTTTGCGGACTATCTTCTCCAGTGCATTCGTGGCCTCCTGCAAACGTCAGCAAGTAAATATCGAGAATAGACAAAATCGGATACCACCTGCTCCTTAGAGCCGGCTGCAGCAGCCTTACACCCTACATAGTGTCCCGCAGGGTCTACCTTCAAAAGCTGAGGACCGAACTCATCGTCGATGCCGAAGAACAGAGCAACTGCAGGGAAAACCGAAATTGATATCCCATGCGGAGTTCATGTGCTCGCTTACTGACGCCATATGGACGCATGTAGGCATGTTGAGTGTAGACCTGGGCCAAGTTGGCGATCTTCTTGGCGAGATAGTGGCAAGGAATCTCGCAACCATTCTTATCCTCATATCTAGGGAGATATCATACCACAGCGATTCACTAACATACCATCCCATCTTACTCAGAAGCGGTCTGACGAGCCCTATTGACGAGAGCCCGAGCGTCAGCTGGCATACCGGCGATGACAACTCCAAGATTGGAGGTGATGCGGTATATGGAGTTGGTGAAGGACCCATCCTGGAGCTTATCCTGGAGCAAACGATGAATTACAGGAGAAAACCAGATGTGAAGTTGTGCGAGCCACGAGTGCTCACCGGAATCTTTTTTTGACCAACTACAGCAACCGTATTCTTCCCCTTCAATGCGAGACACGTTAGACCTGATGTCTTCACAGCCTTGAAAGCATATTCGACCTAAGAGCAGCCATCCAAGCGGAAGTAACATATCCTTGCCTTGCCGACCCCTATTACCTGATACAAACGCCCCTCAGGACTGAAGATCGTAATATGGCGGTCGTAGCCTGATTGGCGGGACATTCGGCCAAAAAATTAAACGCTACTGAACGTCGAAAATCCGACGTTGCTCTCGAGATCGATCAACACAAAACTGACCTGGGTTAAATCTCAAATATCACAAAAACGTCAGGGCGGAAAGCCACACAATCCATCACGAGCTCTCGAGCAGGGATGGTTGATGACGTGGCTCATGTGAGAAAGCGATGGCCCGGCATGGTCGGTGGTGGAACAAATTCGGCCTCCAGATCGGTGATTTCCGAATAAACTGCATCGGGGATAATAACGGAGTTCATGGCATCCAAGAAGACCTCTCTGTCGCTACCAATAATATCCCGAGTATCTCTCAGCAGAAGCATGAGACACTCGTCGAAATCACGATCCCGTAAGCGGTCGGCCAAGATGTCCAAAATAGCTATCCCAGCAACATACAGCACGGGTTCTTTATCCAGTAGATAGAGGTCCCATACTAGGGCTGCCGACTCGGTAGTCAACGGCCTAGAATATAGAGTGAGGAACCACATCGGGAGGAACTGGTCTGGCGTTATTCCAATATCTGTGAGATGCCGTTGAACTGATGGATTGTGAGCTTTAAGGAGCCTCATGAAAATCCGGAACCGTCGAGTGTTGGTTTCGACGTTGAGCTGGTATAAGCCCAGGAGTGTCGGCGAGCTCAATAGGAGAGATGCGAGGCACACGAATGCACCGAAAGGGTCCATGTAGAGGAGAAGCATCGCCGCCATGAACGACATACCTTTCAAGTAGAACTTGCATGACACACCACGCATGAGCTACCTCACCTTGAACGTAGCCGATGTCTGGTCTGTACATAGCAAACGCCGAGAGCACGAGACGACACTCCTGCCGCAGGGGACCGTCAGGGACGCTCATCACAGCAAGATCAGGTAAGGTTCTGGGCAAATCCAAGTCAATCGCCCGGAGCTGCGCCATGAACGAACCTGAATGAAAGCTATCATCCTCACGACGAGATCCTGCATGATTCGAGACTCACCCGGCTCTAGCCTTCCACTGGGCGATCCGTCTTGAACGAGAGCCATGGTGCTGACAGCAGCAGACCATTTTTCTTCTGCTACTCTGAGAACGCGAGGTTACAACACCGAGCGAATCCGGGTGAAGGTGCTCACTTCGCCTTCCTCGTAAGCATATCATATAAGCTCCTAGTGATCCTCAGAGGATTGCCTATCGCTGCGGGCCACAAAGCGGTTCTGGCGCGAGGTGGGAGCCCGTGTTTTCGCCAGGTAGACGCCATTCGGTATGGAACTGGCCGATGCGGCAGGTAATTCGGCAGGAAGTCTTTCATCCATATCTAAAGGCTAGTCTAAGACCTTTGGTCCCTAGAACGAGCTACCTCAGTGAGTTGCTCGAGCGCCTTCTGTCGCTCGGCTCTAGCAACACTCTCCTTCCGACGGCGAAGCTTACCTCTCTGGAAGACATCCGCGACCTGAAAAAACCATAATCACTGTAAAAGGGCCACGCATCACGCACTACCTGTGCCCGATGCCTACGCCTTTCCAACCAGGACTTAGCGGGAAGATTTGTCGGTCTGAACGACCATGTGTCTGTCTGCATGCACTCGCGATGATCACGGTGCTTCCCACTGGCTGATACCGTGTGGAGGAGAAGGATATACTGCGGGACGATTAGAATATCACTCAAACAATAGCCGTCCTTCGAACGCTCCCCAGTGATCACACCATTCCCGTCAGAGTGGAATCCGAAGACAACATATGAGCCAGAAGGCCCTGCGACAACACTGGCCGAGCCTAGACTCCGAATGAGGTGGGACTCTGCGGAGCACTTTATCCGTTCAGGTGACACTGAGCGACGCCGCTGACCACCCCATACAATAGCTTCCTTGAACTCCTCACTATCCTTACCACAACATGCACACATAGCCACTGAGTGATCGCTCCCACAGGACATAACGGGGGCGCACTTCGAGCATAGCAGGCGAACTATAGGGTCGATGAGGATCGGCACAGGTACTACTTCTGCAGCACCTGGCTGAACTTGCCCGTAATAGTTGTTACCCCAACCATACAAGCCGTTGTCTTCAGTGTAAACCAACACATGCTCCGGACCTACTGCCGCCGACCTCGCTCGACCAGGAAGAGCTACCTGGCCAGGATGCGAGACTTCGCTCACCTCTCCATGGCCGAGAGCACCGAAGAGTGATAGGCCCCATGTGTAGACATCGCCGTCCCGAGTCAGGACCAACAAGAAGTTGGTGCCTGCATGCAGCTGGTCAACCGCCAAGCCTTTGAGAGGACTGAATGGTCGAGGAGGCTCTCCCAAGGTAACCACCTGACCATCGTCAAGTAAGGCGTACTGCTCCTCAGTATGCATGGATATAGCCACAGGCTCGCAGTCGAGGTCGACGGGCAAATCGGACGTCTTGGGGAGTACAGCAAAAACTTGCGAGCCCCATACAAGTACAGCAACGTCCGGTGCACCGCCAGGCGCTAGATAGGAGCGAGAGCTACTGCTGATAGAATCACGGGGTGGGACCGGCAGCTCGACTTCGAAAATCAAAGACCCTGGTGACTGCGAAGACAGGCATGTGACCACTGCTCCTGCTGTAGACGCCATTAAAAGGACTGTTGACACATGGGACTCGTGGAGAAGACCTCTAGTGCGAACACAAGTCGGCTAAGGCTAGCGGGAGAGGTTAGGTGAGAGTAGAGGGAAACAGTCGTAGTAGAGCGATGTAGAAACTAATCTCTTTTATGATCTTCACTCGCTGTGGGTTTATCATTCTCATCCCTGCGAGCGCTCTTCTGACGGCTCTCACTCCTATCGCGAGAGGCACTCCTCTTCCGATCGTTACTACCTCCACGGCTCTCACTCCTGCGTGCACCATCGTCCCGAGAATCCTCGCGGCGTGAACTACGTCCCCGCTGAGATTCACCACGAGACTTGGAACGGCGCGACTCACTGCGTGTCGGACTTTTGGAGTCGGGACTTGTGATTCGATCGGCATCGCGCTTCTCAGCATCCTTCTGAGGGCTTTCACTCCGGGGCTTCTCCTCAACGCGGTCCTCAGAGCGATCGGCACGTCGGCTTCCAGAGCGACTCCCTCCATGCTCGCTGCGGCTTCGAGAACGGCACGATCCAGACCGGTCTGTCTCTCGAGACTTAGTACGCTCCTCACGACCCTCGCTGCGGTCCCTTGAGCGACTGGCACGTTCCTTCTCACTGCGGCTCTTCGAGTGGCGCTCAGAACGCTCGTCTTTGCGGGGAGTTCTAGATCTGGATTCGTGACGGGAACGCTCCCTATCTTCGACCTTAGATGTAGACGAGCGATCGCGACTATCACGAGGCTTCCGAGGCGACTCCGAGAGACTACGGCGACGATCACGACTGTCCGACCTGAGAAGAAAGTCGAATGGACCTAATGGACTGAGGGACTTTGGCGTTCGGTGACTTACCGACTGTCATAGGAGCCCGAGCGGGACCTAGATGACCTTGAGCTAGATCTTGAATAGGACCGGGACCGAGAACGGTAGCTTCTTCCACGACGAGAGCGGCCACGTGAGTAGCTACGACTTCTCGAGCGACCGTAACGCCTACGGCTATAGCCTCGTGAGGGAGAACCATAGTACCTTCGTGACCTGTCCCTAAAAGCCGATTATCCGCTCAACCACTAGCAACCTAGGAAGATCGATAAGCTTACCTGGGACCAGCCTTAGCCCATTGCAAGTTGAGCGTGTTGCCGTCTACTCGAGCCGAGGCCATGCCACGATATGCATCCTCTGCGTCACGCTCGTCGTCGTACTCCACGAAGCAAATGTTCTTTCCCGGAGGAATATAACATCGAATGACGCGACCGTATCGTCCGAACTCGTCCTTGATATCACGCTCAGTCGTACGCGAAGAGATGTTCCCCACGTACAGAGTGTTGCGGCTATACATAGGAAGGAAGGTTAGTGGGACCGAACGCTCTACAAACAACGAGAGATAAGACTCAGACCAACACCAACGTTAGATTGATTATTGGAGACTGATGGGCCTGAGAGGACTAGCAGTCTTCGAATGACGACTCACCACTAGTAAGAAACATAATGAAACCGTTATCCCCTTGACGCTACCCGTTGGAGCTAACGGTCAGCGACACGTGGATTCCAAAATGGACAAGCGCGGAACGGTAGAGGAAGGGCAGGAGGACTATAACACAATAACGAGACAATCCTTTCGATGAGCGGTGCGTGATGCAGGCCTACACTCTTCACGATCACACCGTAGACCCCATAGGGATAGCTATCGGAACTACTCAGCCGGTAACTGTAATTTTTCGAGAGGAGGAAGAGATAGCCCGCCCTACGTTCCTGACCCGATCCCAAACAATCGACAGTGGGCTTCAGCCAGAATGGAGATGGCTACCTTAGTCGGAGCTTGGATGAGGTTGGATGAGGAAACGCAAGAGAGCAAGATATTCCAAGATTATGCCACTCAACATCCCAGAAACTTGCATCTTTGAATATCGAAGTGCCGGCGTAGTGTTCCTAGTTGTTGATTGATGAATGGTCAAGTTGGCAACGTTTCGGACATCACAGAGAGGCAAGGTGGTCTGTATAGTCGATGACAACGTGTATCACATGCAGCGAGTCTACAAGGATAGGGTCTACTGGACTTGCAAATCACGAACAAAAGGTTGCAAGGCTCGACTGGTTACCTCGGGGAATCGCGTCTTGAAGCAAAACCATGAGCATTGTTGTGGACTGAGTACTCGTGGAGTTTCCCGGACCAATTCCTCGGCTCCACTGCCGTATAATACGCCAGTTGAAGATCCTGTCAATGCGACTGTTGACATGCAAGCATCGTCGGAAGCAGCGACAGCAGTAGTGGGTGTGACCCCGCTCGACTTTGCTCGCCATCAGATTCTTTGTAATACTATGCTGCAAGAGTATCCTCTCGCCCCGGAGTCTCAAGTGACCATAGAACTGAGCGATATCATCCGGGAATCTCCGCAAGTCCCGGAAGCCCCCGTGGATTCAATATACCATTAATCGTACGTTAGTCGTCACTTCTCTGTTGTGAACTATTGCCATTTGCTTCTCTGCTGCCTGGGTTCGCGTTTAGAGATCCAAGGTCGCGATCACTATGTGTTGGTTGCTTCCATTTCATTGTTTCCCTCGAGTTCTGGGCCTGTGTAAGTGGAGGATAGGCGCGGCTCGTGATGCACCTAGGAGTTCAATCGCGTACCAGTTGTTGTGATTTATACAACCTTCTTGAGTTTCCTCTCATGGTGGCCTACAAGTACCCCTATGACTTGTATCACCAGGCCTTCGACAACCCGAAGTTGGCTAATCTTCCAGCTTGCGCGAAAGTCGACGAGGACGGTACGGTCTCGGAGGTATTTACATACGCTGAGCTATGTAGTCTCGGGAGGGATATGGCTCACTGGTTCAACACAGTGCTCGAGGTCAAGGAGGGGGACTGCGTGGGTGTGGCAATCGAACGGTCAGGGCTGTGGCTGAGCACACTGTTGGCGTGTAGCACCCTAGGCGCTGTGATGGCGCCGCTGGATCCATCGGGTGATGAAGAGTAATCACGGGCATCTCTTCGATTGGTGTTTCGGTTGCGAGACAGTTGCGCGTCGAAGCCGCATATCAATTCGGACCAATGAATTTTCGACTTCATTTTTTCGGGACGTTTGTTTTTCAGGCGACTCCGCAATCTGCTCGATCAGACGGCGCCGAACATTTTGATAGTTCGTTCGAGCATTGGCAAGGCCGATGCCTTGAAGTCGATGGCTACCTGCCGAGTGGTGGATATAACACTTTTTGAGGCAGCCTCGCGTCGCCCTGTGGATTGGGAGGCTCCAGCTCTGGTGGCCTGTGATCCTGGTTACAGGCAGCTCTTCAAGATGTTCTCTGGAGGGACTACAGGCCTGCCCAAGCTGATTCCGGTCACACATGGCATGCCCCTGTCGGAGCTGCAAGGGTATGCTGACGACGTGGTGCAACTACCCCCCGGGAGTCCACAACCTGTAATCCTCCAGTTTTCTGGACTCCAATGGCTCGCCTCCATGATGGGCCAAGTGAATGTTGCTCTTGCCGTTGGTGGAGTTTGTCTCTTCGCTGACTCCCTCAAGGCTGGTTTGCAGTGCGTCGACATGCCACCGACCATAGTCGGCGCAGTTCCAACGCAGCTGTTCCTGAATGCGAAGCTCTTGTCGGAGTGCAAGTTGACTCATCTGCTACTATGGGGCGAGGCTTCTACTCCTGACAAGTTGGTTGAATTACAGACTCTCGTTGGGAAGGCTCGGGTCGTGGACTTGCTCATTGCGACCGAGTTTTGGCTATGCTTGGTCTGTGACGGTGATAAGGGAGATTCGTGGTTAGTCTATCTAGGAGCGATCGCTCGTGTATAATACCAACACCAAGTGAACGTTGAGCTTCTCTAGATAACTGTGATAGTAGAAGATGAATAAGAGCGTGTTGATCTGTAAGCGGCTCAGTGTCCATCACTGATGGTATGAATAGGCTGATTTGTAGTGAAGCGTTCAAGCTGATATTTGACTCGTGGCCGATCTCAGAGTTCGTAGGTCCTGTATGCAGTGACGCCGATTCCTGCTTTTCAGATGGCTCCGCCATGTTCCGAACCTTGCGCACCCAGCAAGTCGAGGTCAAGTTAGGGCAGCTAGGCGATGAGGTATCGGCGCCAGAAGGCCATAGGTAGTATGCGGTTAGTGAAATCGCTATTATTGTGATCGTCACTCGGCTGTCTCAGGTCTCGTGGGCGTGGCGAACTGATGATGCGTGGTCCCTTTGTTTGCCAGTTTCTGACGGACGGAGAAGGGTGGTTCAAAACGGGAGATGTTGCCGAGATGGATAACCGAGGTAGCCGCGATGATGAGCAGTGGACTGATCAGGATGGTTACTGCCTTGCTTGGTAGGACGAATACATTACCTTGGTCGTCTAGGGGGTAGACTCAAGGCTTCGGGAGGAGTTTGGATCGACGCGCTTCCCATCGAGCAATTGGCGCTATCTTGCGGTGCAGGTGTCGAGGAAGCATCTGTACTCACACACAACGGTCGTAATTACATGTTCGTATATGTGAAGAAGTTGGAGGCCGAGCTGAGCGATTCGGACTGTGACGATTGGTATGCTGGGTCGTCGGGCAGCAGTGATTCTAGCGATGACACTGGAGGTTCTCTAGCTACTCCCTCCTATGCGATTACGGAGGAGGACGAAGCTGCATTATCCATGCTGGGACAATACACAACTCTACGCCGGGCCTTAGCCGCCAACAAGGATGCTGCGGTTCTCGACCTGACTATCCGTATATTGTGTAGGCCCTTGCCGAGGAATCATAACACAAACAAGATAGACCGATTCCAGTTGGTGGAGGAGATCCTGGGTCACGAGGATGGTTGGAGGGAGAAATTGGAACCAGAGCGGCGACGTCGTCTGGTGAATGCATGGAAGCGTGTCGGCCTGTGGGGCACTGGCTCTTTCCTAGCATGTGGTCCAAAGGAGTTCCTGTTGTACCTCCCTTATATGTGGTTGTCCACACTCTATCTGCCGGCCTTCGACGAGGATGCTGTCACAGTGAGAGAGAAGATCGGTCTTTTTACATTGCGACTCATCAGAAGCTGCCCCTTGGACCGTATTGGTTTCTTTGCTGCGTGGTTCGCCTTCTCCCGCCGATTCAAGTCGGTGCGGAAGATGACATGGATCTGGGCCCTAGTCGGAGCCTTCCTGGCCTTCCGAGATGGTCGTCTCCTCTCTTGGCCGCCCGCATTTTGGTATGCTATTGGAAATCAGAGCAGTTATGAATCGTCCAAATGGTTGTCCTGGGGATTTGCTAAGCGTCAGATGAAGTGGAATGCTCAGTGGTTTTGGTGGTACTTGTCCTTGAGATGGCTACGAACGGCCGATACGACATACGAGAGATACGAGGAAGATTGGAAAATCCCTCGTGCGCCTCTCGAAGATAAGGTCGCTGTGCCCAAGGATGACGAGAGTGTAGATGGTCTTGATAGGCGAGATGCTGCTAGCGTTCTCACTGAGGAGCCTCAGGAGACGCCCATGGAGGCTGTTGAACAAATGGAGAGTTCGCTAGAACCAACTAGTCCGGAAGTAGGGCTCGCAGGGTCAGGGTCTCTTCCAGCTGCTCCAGATGGTCTCGAGATGAGCCAGGAGATGACACTTACCGACCAGGGCTGCGAGAATGTCTCTACTGTCGACTCGCCTCCTGTGACTGACAAGGACCGCGAAGAAGGGGTTGTACCCGAGAAGGGCATCGATGACGATGACATCATGTCTGCCTCGGACCTCGGAGAGAGTCCGGATACTCTGACTCCTAATGAGAGTAGTCCTGAGGAAAGCTCGTTGGCGAAGAAGCTCGCGGTGCCTCCTCAGAAATACCATTACAGGACTTTCCAGAAGTGGTGGTGGCATGAAAGAGCCTTGGACCGCTTTGACTGGACAAGGACCCATTTTGTGAAGAGTGTTCGTAATGTTGTCCGCACTGTGCCGGATGCCGACCAGTTAGTCGGTGATGTTAACTTGGAGCAAGTGTGCGCATTGATCTCGGGCATCACTGGGTGGAGCAAGGTGAATGCCAATACAGATCTGGGTGGCATGACGTCGCTGCAAGTTTCAATGCTCATGAAGAGGCTGCCGGGAAAAATTGCAGCGAAAGACGTTCTGGTGTGTAAGAATGTCGCCGAGTTGGTAGCGCTATTACAGTCGCCCGCGAAGGAGGAGAATATGCTAGGCACTGTATGTCCGGAGGAGCCATTCCGAGCATGGTTCTCTCCAGGACAGTTGACCAGAGTGTGCAAGTGGGCATTCCAGATTCGTGGTGACCTCGATATGGAACGCTTGCAGGACGCTGTCGATCTCATGGTTGATCGTCACCCGATGCTGAGAGCTCGGGTGGTTGGACCGGCACGCATATCTAGCTTCCTTTACGATAGTGTCATGGTACTCTTGCCTACCTTGTCCCGTCTCCCCGAGGACTCCTGGTCGGCTTGGTGGCTTCGTCTGCTGGTTTGCAAGCCATTATGGCATGCGTGGGTCAAGGTGCGATGTTCCCAACGTGCGGATCACGTTCCTATTGGTGTTCGCTGGGCATGGGGGAAGGACCCTCGCAAATGCCAGAAGCTGATGTTTCGAGCACGGAATGATATGGAAGATGACAGGACTGACGACACCCCGCTGAAGCTGTATTTGGTTCAACAGCGTATCGATGACCCCGAGAATCCCGAGACGTACATCGTGAGGAGGCAGTGGTTGTTCATAATGATTCGGCATGCATGGTCCGACGCCCTCTCCTACTTCCCTATAGCGGACGATCTGAGCAAGGCGTTCACTAATGACGATCTGCTCAGCAGCCCGGTCGATGTGGTCGACCCACGCCCGCTACTCCAGCAGAGATTCTATGATGGCCTTCGAGTAACTCATGGAGCACCGGATCGTAACAGTTTTCGAGGTTCTTACTTTTATGACGAGTCCATGACCCGGGATGCGTATCACCACTACTTCAAAATCACTAATAGATTCATCTGTCACTTCCGTTATCTGGCGGAGGAGCATTATCATGTTCCACTGGAGCACATATTGATAGCCTGGATATCGTTGAGCTTGGCCCGTGCTGATCAGAACGAGAATGTGGGTATGACGCTTTATACCCCCTTGCGCGATGGTCCCATGGAGAGCCAGATGCTTGCGCTTTTAGCCGACTGGCGTGACTTCGACTTCGACTTCTCCTTCGGGAGGGGATCTGTGATGGATGCCGTTCTACATGTTTCGGATAAGCTTAGGCGACGGGACTATACAGTCTTTGATCAGCCCGGCAATCCTGAGGCGACTCTGCTGAATTTCTTATCGCTGGACACTCGTGTTCGCGGTAATGGTAGGCTACGTCATGTCCATGTGGACAAGGTTGGGTATCGCGAGGACGACAACGATAGGTCTTGGGGCTGGGTTGATCGACAGCAGTGGCGAGAGGGCCCGGGCCATCGCAAGCGCAGTATGAGTCTGGAGCAGACAAGTGCTCGTGGTGCTTGGTCCCTCGCTGTTACATTGGCTCCCGAGTTCTATCCTGCTGATTGGTGCAGGAGGTTCTCTTATTATATGAAGTTGACAGCTGATCAAGTGTTCAGAGATCCACTAGGGTCGTGTGGCCGAGTGGAGGGTGACGAGGAGAATTATGCTGAGGAGTGGAAGAAATGGGAGGAGGAAAATGAGGCGGCTGAAAGATATGATATGTTCCAAGAAGACGAACTAATGTGGTCGAAGATCTCCGCTCAGAATGAGACTCAGCCTGCCATTTGTGATGATGATTAGTTTTCAACTCGAATTACGTTGCTTTCTGTCCAGTTCATTTCTTGAGTTGACTGTGGTATTTTGGGCGCGCGCATTTAACCGCGTTGGCCATGTGCTGAATCCAAACAGATGACATTTGTCTTCAATGCTCTCAGATGCGTCGGTGTTTACTCGTCGCTCTTCCTCTATAATCGGTTTCCTCTCTGTCTTCTTAGTCCTGCTATATGAGTTGCGCACGGTCAAACTCGATTTGATCGAGCTATTGCCTCTCGCATTGATCAGTGCTGGCCTTTTTCACCACGTTCGCGACTGGCTCAAGCGTGTTTTTCTGGTCCGTTGATCTCGAACAGCTTGTTGGTTCGGGCGCAGGGTTTAAATGGGGTATACTCGTAGTAAATGAGGCTCTGGGTCAGCTCGTTCTTCTCGCAGCGCTGAACATCTTAAGTCGTGCTTGTGCGGTGGTCCGGGGCTACGTGGGCTTTGATTGTGGTGATCCACCCTTACGTGTTGTAGGCTTCTACTGAGCTATTGGTCACAGTGGCGATGACCACGCCTGGAACAGAATTCGGAGGTATTGCATGCCATGGGACTGTAATATTGCAGTACGAGAGTGACTCTACTTGCAATGGAATTCTCGAGGGGCAGCTGGCTATTGACACAATCGCAACTCGTGGTGCGAAGGATGTGGTGTGGCTGGATATGAGACCGTTCATAACCCTCTCATAGGCCGAATGCTACCTCAGGTCTGAATAGGTCCGTTGGCCGGGCGGCTGAATGTCTTCATGTCCCTCGGGTCGGTGTTGGTGAAAGTGGTAATATATGACTTGGGACTCGATCATCTGGATAGATTTGGGCGGAAGATGGCTCGATGTCAACGCTTCGATGAGCGGGAGAGTCTCGGTGGTGGTAGTAGCGTAGGGCAACTAGAAGTTTCCGGGCGCGGCGATCGCTGGCGATCGTCTTGCGTCGCCCCTGTTTACACTGATGTTTGCTCGTCATGACCGATATGCCTATAAATGGTAAGGCGCCTGTTCATTGAGAATATAGCTTCCTTTCGTCACCATGAGACAGACGTGATCAGGAAATAGAATTTTGATATGAGTTGGATTGGCAACATGTTGGAATGCGTTCAGTACTCGGGGGATACAGTGCACGCCGGAAGTCTTTGTTGTGTAATGTCGAAGCGAGTCGCCGAGAGTCAACTGACTAAGGACGATGCACCTCTGGAAGACAACGTGGAGGACCCTGGCACTGGGCGGGAGAAGGCCTCTGCTGATGTAGAAGGGGACCTGGCCGCTTGAATGGATGATTCCGAGCCAGATACTTGCGAAGCGCAAAATTGTCTCAGTGAGACGGAAAACTGAAGGAGCAGCTCCCGCGGCAGCGGAAAAGGTAGTGAATATCGACCCGGGTGGCAGGTCAACACAGCAGACTCTGCTTTCAGCCTTCCACGGTATCGGAGACGGAAAGTGTAGCTTCCTCACAGAACCCATTCGCTAATCTGGGGAGTGAGTCGGTTGGGTTGTCTCTCCCATAAGTTGTCATAACTCGCCTATTTAGCGTCATCCAAGTCGGGCGAGAGTGAGGAGGCACCCAAGAGCAGCAATCCCTTTGCTGGTATCTCGTTCGCCAGTGCGTCGAAGCGTGGTGGAGGCGGCCTCTTTGGCGACATCGGGAAGAGTAATAGGTATAGTGTTGCCGCATTTGAACTTCGTATTGTTCAGAAATGTCCGAGGGAAGTGGCAGTGGATTCGCTGCTTTCGGCGCCGACCAGGCTAGCAAGTCAGAAACCGCGGAGCCGACTAGCCCAGAAGAAGGTAGCACCGTGACAAAAAGTCTTGGAATCTGTAGTCGTTATGTAAATGCCACGTCAAGTAGTGGGTCTTATTTTTCAGGAGATTCCTCAGAGGCGTCTGAGCCTCAACCTCACCCAGTCTGCAGTGGTGAGGAGGGCGAATCGTTGATGTACTAATATAGACGTGGATTTGGTATCACAGTGTGCCGGTATAGGTTCTCATCTGATTGCAAGTTGTATAAGCTCATGAAACAGGAAGAATCAGGGACAGCAGCGAGCTCAAGTAGGAAGGCATTCCTTCGGGGAACTAGTCACTTAACGAATGTCCCTCTACTTTACGATTCTTGGCGAGACGTGTGTCCCATCTTAGGTACCGCTGAAGCTCAGTCTGCAGGTCCGAAGTATAAGTGGACAGAGAGGGGCATGGGTAGTCTTAGAGTCCTCAAGAAGGACAGCGATGACAACGTAACCATCCCATCTCTCACCAGTGTGGTAAATTGTGATGCAATCAGGCTAAAGCAGCTGGGCGGATAGTAGTCCGTATGAAGGGAGTTTGGAAGGTCATATTGAATACACCGATTTTAGATGCCGAGAAATACGATATGGTAATCAGGCGGCGCGTGGAAGATCTTGTTTTGTGAGGAATCTGTATTTCTTAGGTGGGCTCCAAAAGCGTCAAGTTCTTCGGTCTGGATGATGAGAGTACCGAGGAAGGTCAACTTGCGTCTTACCGTGTTAATGTACTTTCTGGCCGGGCATCGGGTTGTCTCAGTAGTTTGCTTCAGATGCTATCTTCCGGAAATCAGTCGGAGTTCCTGAAGGCGGTGAAGAGCTTTTCACCAAGTGGCGCCTCTACTGCTGCTCCAACACCCGAAACAGCAGCTGAGAAGAAAGAAGAGTCTATTAAAGCCTAAGGGAGTTCTCCAACATATCCAATCTCCACGTGTTGTGTCAACGGGATTTTGGAGTCGTAATGCTCCAGGTTGCTCTCAATTTCATGGGCCTTCGATCCAAACGTGGAGTTTCTTCGAAGAAATCGTCATCTGCGGTGACTGTGACGCTCAAGGCCCCCGAGGGCTTGGCGCTGGAGAACGAACATGAGGAACCTGAAGGTGATGTATTCGATACGTTCATCGCATGGCATTGGTTGTTTTCATAGTTAGTAAAGATGCTGGGTTCTCGCTCGGTGAGATCCATTGGTATGCTAATGTGACTTAATGACGTGATTCCTCTCCAGGTACCACTTCTCCAAAGCAGGATGAGGTCGAGGTGGAAAACACCGAAGAGGGTATCTGTTCTTAGGGATCAAACCTGATTCGATCGCAATCTTCCTCAGGAACCCCTTCTCAGCAGAGCTCGAAGCCCGAGCCGAAGTACTTCTGGATGGACCCCGCAGCCCAGACAGCTCTCGTTGAGTTGAAGGCTCGGGGTGAAGCGAAAGCCGCGAAGGTGCGAGCGGCTAGAGCTCAACCCTACGTGGTGAAGGTGATAAGCTGGTTCGGGATGTGCAAAGAACTCCATCGCTCTCCGTTATAGGGCTTCACCGTCGTCAACAGTAGTGCGCCGCTCACATCTGAGGCCGGCCGGGCAGCGGTGAGCAATCAGTGGATACAAGATGGTTCGTATGCTGAGCAGTGGTAGCTCCCTGTATTGTAGTCTCACTTCAGAGCTCTACGGGAATCGCACGAGGAAGAGATCATGGAAGGTACTCAACGATAGGGAACTCACCGATGCGTGATGGGCGAGCTCTGTCGAAGCCACTACTGTCCCCTTGTACGTTACGTCGCTCCTGCTCACAGTTTCTACGTATGCAGATGGAGTTTGGTTTTGAGGCCTCAATCACTGAGCGAAGTGGTTCTGTCATCAAGAATGCTGACGAAACGTCCGTTCTAGTGTCGGGAAATCGAAGTCGCGACTCGAGATTGAATCGCTCCAAGTTAATCGCATTGACCTATTCGATGCCCCGACATGGCGATCGGAGCTCATCCGCTCATTCGAGAAGGGCTTGCTTCCCATTCTTCTGCTGCTCTCGGAACAGCAATGATCACACGATGGATCAAAGTCGGATCGCTCGAGGTCGAAGGTAGTGAGATGCTGAGAGGGAGGCTGGAGTGTAGCGGAGTTCATCTAGGGTCGAAGTTGCTGGTGGACCCGAGTTACGCCGCGCGTCGTACCGAGCATCTACTGGCACTGTGACAGCTCAGTACCTCCAGCGCGGCTTCTCACGGACTACAGGCACGCAGAAGGATTCCCGTACTGGATCGGAATACTCGGGTGAAAATCTGATGATCTGACAGGTCCTGATTTGTTAAACCTGGGTTTGTTCGTAGATGCTCGATCCCCCAAGCGAAATCCTGAAAATGGTGAGAATAGTTGCTCGCCGAGAGATGTAGCTGTCATAATCGGCCGAGATGAGATAGAGAGAGAAAGTTCAGCGAAAGCTGAGGGAAAGATGTTAGGCCGGTCGGTTCTCGGGATGACGGGGTCCTCGGGTAAAAGCCTCTATTGCTTCAAAACTGTCCAGTAGCGCATAAATCGGTCTCGGTATTGACACTATAGGAGTTGACGATATGCACTCGACACAGCTGTGATGC